ATAAATATTGTGAAATAATTCCGTGTTGTGAAATGATAAAAGCAATTGAAATGAGAGCGTAAACTACTGTACTTCAATGTTGTGTATGTGTGTTGTGCCGTCTATCAATAAAATACAGTGAAATCATTGTGTGAAATGTGATTGGCGTGACAAAATAACCTCGATTTTGTAATGAAAATTATTTCTTCCAACATAAGTTGGGTATGTCATTAAAATATTCCTTATATTTATATGATAGGGAATTTATCCACCTTTCTAGTCCTATATAACACATTCCATATAACTATACAGAATAACGTTTTTTTGCGACATATTGGATTTTTTAATTGTTTTCTTGACCTAGTGTTCAGAAAAGTTTTTTATTGCATAATACGCTCAATATTTCGTATAAAAAGTATATATATATACATATATAAAGGTTTTGTAATACTGTAAAAAGAAAAAATCTCTTAGAAACATCGCGTTTTGTAGACAATCATGAAAACTTCATAGGAGTGAATGTTCTTCTACAAGATCAACTACACTTAAGCCAGTAAAAATAATCTTTTCGTATTCAAAAGTTGTTCTATAGATAAAGCTATAGACAAAATGCTCCAACTGTGTTTTGAAAAAAGCTTTGAATTTTTATCGCCATTTTTATTTTTAAAGAATGACTATGAAGTAGCCGAGAAAAATTTGTTTTCTTTTTAAAAAGTAAATCTAAGTTGAAATTAGCTTGAAGAAGCCTAGAACCTCTTGGAAATGGTTTGTTTTGTGAGTTATTTTGTATATTTAAGCTTTCTTTAAATATTTAAAACCGAAAATCGATAACTGTATTTTTATTAAGTTTATATTTTATACTTATGTATATTTAAAATTTTGCGAGCGCATTTCTTTTATGGCAGGTTTTACATCACTTCACAATATATTTAAAGTCGTACGTCAATTCGCGCTTTCTAACCGATTAAACATTGCGCGAAAAAGTCAGTAACATTATATCTAATTTCGCCATGTTGCAATTTTGATAGTTTATATTTTGTAAGCCATTAAACTTGAAATCTATTAGTATTAAGAGAATTGCGTCTTTTGTTTGTAACGCTTTAGTATTTTGGTTTCAAAATAGCATTGCTAAGAAAACTATCATAGACTATAAATTATCTAAAAACTGTGTACAAGACTAAATAAAAACTCTCTTCTTCTCTCATTTTTGTGTTACAGTAAAATACACATGCCGTAGTAGGAAAACTGTAATCAGTGATAATGATAAATCATTTCGTGAATAACCACGGAACTCTAAAAATTTATATAACTGTATTATATTGTATATTTGATGACCAAATGCCCGTCATTCTAATGTATGCTCTAATGAGCAGTTTAACAAATGAAATCGTAGGATTGTTTCAATAGAGAAATTTGTAAGTTTTTTCTCTGAGTCTTCTCTAAATTATTTTTCTTGTGTGGGTGTTCTAGGTAGCGCTCTGGGGAAAATTTTGGGGTAAAATTGCTCTTGTACAGAAAATTTTAGAGTTATCAATCGAACGATTGTTTTCTTACAGAAGACGTAACTTACGTAAATAAGCTATATCTGCTATTGTTTCAGTTTCCTTAACTCTTGCGTCAACCCAGTAGCTCTGTACTGCGTGAGTGGAGTCTTTAGACAGCATTTCAACCGCTACTTATGCTGCAGACGTGGAATCCTTCATGCAACTTGCAGTTCCAGACTGTCCAGAAGCGCCATTTGCGAAACCTCGTTCCGCAGTACGCATAGACATCGGTGTAACAGGTAAATCTATAATGTACCTCTACTTTCTTAAGTTTTCTTGATTAAGACTTTGTGTATTTTCATATCGTTGGGGATAGTGTAATTACGCGTAACTAGCATTTGTTTATGTGTTTCCATTTCGGTACTTTATTGGCCAAGTCAAATAAGCGTAAATTTTGTGGCCACCAAATTAGCGTGATTTACGGGAATCTATTGTTGTCATTCCATTGACAACATAAATTAATGCTTCCTATGCAAAAATGAAAGTCGTAGCCAAATAAATAACAAAGTAACGTTTAATTCCTCTCCTGTGAAATTTCGATATGCGCTTTTACCAATACTACACACGCGGATTTGCACTATTGCCGACGACATGTCGTCTAAGTAAGCTATAAAATCAAAGTTGATGTAAAGTGGTATTTTGTTTTATTCATATTCAATTTACGTGTTACAAAAACTGTATATTCGAGAAAAAACTGGATTTCGTTCTTATGTTACAGCGTGGCCACTAGTAAACAAAAAAAAGACGTGTAAAATCGTTCACGCTATCTTTTATCACAATGGCGCTCGTATAGGAAGAATTTTATAAATATTTAAATACATAGCAAGGTCAACAGGTAATACAGGTGTACAGAAAAACTTTTTCAGGGAACTAGTATGTGGTAACAGTAAAACAAACAAAAAATAAAAAAATGTTGGTTGTCTATCCTTTTTCATTTAACCGGCTATGTTTGTTCAAGTATTACGCAAATATTATTATTTTAATTAAAACTTGGATTATTTTTATGCTCTACGTTGGATACAGTTTTTCTCCTAAATTACGGTGTGAACGATAAATGTTATGGTGCTTTTTTGCTAGGTAGATTTTTTAGGAGCAGTACATTGAATTATTAATAAGATTTTCTTCGGTCATTGTTCACTTTTAGGGCGCGTTCCCATTTTGTCGTAACGTTTTATTTATCGTTGGACGACTGTCACGTCTAGTCTGGTCCCATATCACGACTATCTGTTGTGACTATATCGTGGCCGTTTATTTGACTTGACTGTTCCCACTAGATCGTGACGACATTTATCGGTTCACGATAGCGGCTTTGTCGTTAGGACGACATAATCGTGAAGCCGCAATTATCTGTCGCCACATTCTTATCGTGACTTTTTATTTATCGTAGAACAACAGTCGTTCTATCTCTTCCCATTATCACGACAGTCTGTCATCGTAACGTCAAAATGGTCATACACAACAGTTAATCGTGTAGTTCTATGTGTGAACAACTTCATTTAAATATACAAGCCACGATACTTTAATTTGCACGACTATCTCGTCGTCATGATATAATGGGAAATGGAAACGCGTCCTAAAGCCGCCCTCGGTAAGTTTGGTCGGAAATGATTAAAAAGTGATTCGTAGGTTTATTGTGAACATGTGAACCAAGATAGCATTCTTTTTTTGGCATATAGTTTTAGAGCCGTAACATATTCAGTTTCAATAGTATCATTTATACTACTATGGTACCTACTGGTTACTAATAGTACAGTAATTTAATAGTATTCATACCCACCTGATGTCATTAAAAATTGCGTGCAAGCTAAAGTGGAAAAATTTGAAAACAGGAAAGTGTTAAATAAAATATTTTTTTCTTAAGGTACATAACCACTTTATTACGACTACGCTAATGTGTATATTTTTTAAAATACCCACACTTTAAAAATTGAGCTTTGAGCGTTACTTTGTATGGACGGGCCAATTGTGCGCCGTTCATAGCTATCAAAAAGAGGATGCTATGTTGCCTCGACTATAGGCAATAGCCACAGACCACATAAATATTAGTATAACCATGCAAACTACTTTGAATACGATAAGAATCAGTTACAGACTTCACATGTCTTGGAACAATGAGTGATAAAGTTTTATGGAATCGTGACTAGCTTTGGTACGGAACTGTAGCTACCAATAATTATAAATGTTACCAACACAGGGCGTGGATCGTGAGTGACGTCATAATAGATTCTGCAGATTCACATAATTATGCTTATAGAAAGAGCATGCATGTAGATAGGTACTTGGTTTTCCTTTAGTTTTTGAGTATACAAGGTTATTTAGACAATGTTAACAATCTCGTAGGACTATATTACGAACATCATAAACAACAACTTTTGCTCCATGACTTTTTACAAAATACCAAATTTATCAAAAACAAACTTTTAAGTTTTTTTTAATACTATCTGACACTTTTTATATCTGTGCCTTTACCACGAGATCAAAGTGACAGTTCTCGCTGGCGACCGCGTAAAATATTTGTATACAAATATTGTTTCTTGTGACCACTAGGGGCGCTGTATAATTTGCCATACAAAATTGTGAAGTGTCTAAGTAATCTCACCGTAGGAGCACAGTATATGGGAGTAAGGCAGTAAGTTCAAAAGTGCAAGCGTCCTATGTTACCGAGTTGTCATCGTTTAGAGCATAGGTTCCGAAACATTTTGGCTCACCACTTAGGCAAGATAAAAGAATTTCAACGCTCGCCACCACAAAAAATAATTGAAAACACGTATTTTTTATATTGACTTAAAACAAAAATATCATATTATAATCTAGTAGAGTAAAGATGATTCAGTTTTTTCAAATGCGGTTGCACACCCTGGACAGCATTAACGCTCCCAAATGCTTCCAAGGCCCTTACCGCCCCCATAGAACTCTTCAGCGCCTACTTTGGGAAACTACAGTTTAGAGTGATCTATTTAAATATTTTTGTATGAAAGTAAAATTTCTTTCGAATTATTAAAAGTCCTGGAACAAAACTTGTTGTCTAAAATGTTAGCAATATATAGACCTGCGAGGTTGTTAGTAAAAACACACGAATAACCCTGTATATGAACTGCAATGGTGCATTTTACGTCAAGTTTTACCTGTTTACGTACTCGTATTATTTAATACCATTTAATAATACAAGTACGGAACGTATGTCTTTATTTCATTTATAGGGTGATCTCAAAAGGTCTCGGAATATTTAGGACGTGATTTTAATCATGAATACAAAGAAATGTTACTAAATCAGCAGTTCCATATTAAATGTACCGAAGCGTCCCGATTGCATGTTATCCTACAATTATATGTCCCTATTGTAAAAGTTGTACGTATCTTCTCTTAATAATATCACAGACCTTTTAGGGGGCCACCTTGTGTATTCACGTAACATCTGAATAAGCATTGACTAAATCCAATTCGTAAATTATTGATTCGAACTCAGATTCAGATTCATTTATATCTCAAATATGATATTACTGTATAAATTGCACTACATGTTCAAGTATAAGATATTGCGACTGTCAAACAAAAATAAAAATTATAAAAACAAGTATAAAAATTAATTAAAAAACAAAAACCCGACGAATATTTAGCTGGAAAGATAAAAAAATATTCCCCCTTGACTATTTTGATTATTTTTAATAGCCTATGACACTCCCACGATCAAGACGAATCTAACGACACCTCACATGTCAAAATCTATCAAGCCGTTTAGGCTGTACAGCGGCGAGAAGAAGAAATGGACATACATACATACATACATACATACATACACTTGAAAAACATAACCCTCCCGCAGTCGGGTAAAAATACACGTTGACACAATGGAATTCTGCATTTTGTCCTTTTCTTTCAATATACATAGCACTCGTTAAACTTAATAAAGCGTCACGAATTTGTTCAAAATATGTGGCAAATTACGAAGTCAAAACAAAGTTAAATTAATAAATAGAGCTTTATTCCATTAAATGTTAAAATCTAATTCATTTAAAAATTATGCCAATCCGCAACGTAGGCTTCGTCAGGAAGACACAAATATAAATCAGCAACAGGCTTCGTCACAAAGAAATTAATAATTCAATTCGCTAGACTTAGTCATTTCTATTTAACTATAAGAATGAAACAGGACTGCTCTGAATCTTAGCTGGCTCAAATGTCCCCCTAACACAAAGTTAAATTGGAATTTCAAGTTTAAGTTTTATTGGTCACCAGGAGTAGAGCTTGATTATGTAACTTCAGGACTCCACATTTATATTAGTTAGGTGAAACAAAAACATAAATTTAATTATATTACAGTTACTTAAGTATTATTACAATTACATAGTACATGGTTTATTGTTGATTAACGTTAAATAACGAGTAATTAGTCTTTAGCAAATATTACACATAGGTAACGTAATTATTTTTCGGATATAAATCTCGTTGTTTTTTCAAAGTAACCATAACAAATATTAGACATAACGGATTGATGCTTTTATTATCTCAGTCAGTGGTGATCATGAGACCTGTAAAGCGCCCGAAAAGTTAGTTTGTTCGAAAACATAAATACGCTATTTACGTCCGAAAAATAGTTTTATAACTTTAAATAATAATAACAACCACACTAATCTGTGTAGTGTAGTAAATGAGGCGAAAGATTTCGCGCGGCCGTCACTCGACTACCGCCCAGGTACCACGCTTTCATGTACATTAATGGCGAATCTGAATTCAATTTACTAGGCAACAACATTTAAATTCCTCTGAATAATACAACCGCGATCGCGCGATCGCCTCGCGCCCGCGAAGACCAAATTCAAGCCAGACTCGTCCGCGTTCCCGGGACGCTCATTTAAATTAAAACGTATAATCTAAATGAATAGAGTGTATTTTGCCATGACAGTCAGACGCACGCGGTCGCTGCGCGGCGGCAACGCGGACTCCGCTCGACGACCGCGTGTCGGCCGTGCGGGGTGAGCGCGATGAAATTCGTGTTGAATAATGCGCCCCAAGGAATTTCCGGAATTATGAGTACCAAAGCAATGGAATTAACCACCCAAAACAAAATCAATTTGGAAATGCTCTTTCCAAATTGATCATATAACGGGGATCAAACCATGATCAAACCCGACATCTGCTCATCTAGCTCTCAGAGTGCTAACCACTATGCTACTGACGTCGTGATTATATACGTTAATCACTTTATTCGAAAGACTTAGGGCGCATTCCCATTATGTCGTGACGACAGACAGTCGTGCAGTTTGAAGTGTAGTGGCCTGTATATTTAAATGAAGTTGTTCATATATAGTACAACACGATTAATTGTCGTTCACGACTTTTTTGAGGTAACGACGACAGACTGTCGAGACAATCGGAATACCGAGAACGACAGGCGTCTGAAGGTACATAAAACGTCACGATAAAAATGTGACGACAGATAATCGCAGCTACTATTGTCGTCACGTTCTATTCATCGTTGCCTGCACGGGCGCTGATAAATTCACGCTCTTCGGGGAACAGCTAGACACGACAACGATCGTTCAAAGATAAAATAAAATCCCACGACACAGTCACGACAAACAGTCGTGATATAGGAACAGGCTAGACGCGACAGTCGTCCAACGATAAGTAAAACGTTACGAAACGTTAGAAAGCGCCCTTAGGAACTCTATTCCGTTTACAATTTACAGAGGCAAGATTTCATCAAATCCCTCCCTTAAGTAGTAAGAGTTGTATTGATTCTCTTGTTTAATTAGGAAGCGTAACGACCTCAGGTTGCTACTAATTAATGTGTTTCTTTTCACAGTGATTGTTCTATCAACTTTTGCAGGAACCCAACAGAGAGCGTGGTGATATCAAATTACGACCACGGCAGCACTAAAAAGAAGAGTAATATCATATCTCGTAACAGCGCGGATGGAGTCACTATAATGTCTGTTAGAGATACTAACGAGTTCTTGTCAGCAGATGGTGATGAAAAGTGCAAAGTTTACCAAGAATTTTGAGAGTCAAGGCTTTGAGACAAGTGTTTTCGTTTTCGATTGTTTTCTTAATTCGAGATTATTCCAAAAACTTCGTAAACATTCGAAAAAAATGTGACTAGTAAGATATACGATATATTAATAAGTGTAAAACTGTACCTGTATATAATATTATAAAGAACAGATATTTTAAATATTTTTTTTGTAAAATAACATATTGGCATGCAATTCACTTTAATGTGATGATGTTTAAGATGCATTAAAACGAGCGTTCGATGTGAATAAATTTAGGAATGATGTTTGCATTTAGTTAGATTTTCTTCTTTTTTACAATAGAAAAATAAAACATTATTTTTAAACGACCAAAGATAATCTAACTTACATTTAAAACAACGTTTTATACTAATATAAGAATATGAACTATTATTATATCTAAATATTATGAAAAATGACATATATGTGAATTTAGATGTAAGAAAAATCTACTGACGTAAATAATTGGAATATCTCGCTTATTGTAATTTGAGAAATGAATGAATATTATGTGTATTAAATGTATCACGTCGATGTTCCCTTTTAGAATATTTTCCTATAAACACTGGTTATCATATTATAATATATACCTGAGGCTCTTCTAAAATAAATAGTTGTCTACAGTGTTAGTTTCAATTTAAATATCCGTACCGTACCTATAATAGTACTTTACCTTTTATGTTGCTATTGGTATAAACAAAATTTGTCATGGACAGTTTGAATGAATGAACGAACGAATGACTAAATGAATGAAATACTCTTTATTGTACATAAAAATACAATGAAAACACAGGATCGAATTTACAAAATATAAAGGTCTTATAGCATAGAATATAAATTTTGGAATATCCAAAGAGGATGCAACCAAAGAACCTTCCAATATGACTTGTAGTTTATAGTAAAAATAAAGTGAACAAAAAAATATAGAAATTTAAATACTTTATTTAGATTTCTGTGAAACTAACGGATAACTCAGGTCGTGTATGGAGTACTACTGCCATCTTTGGAATGATTCTGCTAAATACTAACTTGCCACCTTAGATTCAGTTGAAAAGCGTGCTATCATCGGGGGATTATACGTAGGCTGAGGTTTCATTCCTATATTGTCGACATTAAAAGAATACGCACGAAGCGTTACGCTTAGCTTTGACATTTATATGGCGAAGGAGTGGAACTCCCTGTCTGCAGACTTCTTCCTTAAACGGTATATAATATAACTTAGGCCTTTTCAGGACGAGAGTATTCACTCTATAGGTTTACACAGGTTTTATTTAGTTATGCATGCTCCATTGTTGACTTTATCGTTACTTTCCATCAGGTGAGATGGAGGTCAAATGAAGCACTTTTTTTATAAAAAATAAAGGAAACTCCCGTATTAGTCGGATTATTGCTCGGCATGTTTCGAGTCAGTCCGTGGTCCCTAATTATGAGCTTGCGCGACGATGACTCGACGAAACATGTGACTTTAATAAGAACGAACTAAACGAGATTTGAGAAACACAGCCGCGCTTGTTCCGACTGACCGGGCTGTCAGGGCTTTGGTGCGTAGTTTTCGTCGAGTCAGCGTCGCGGAAACTCATTATTAAGGACTAGTCCGAAACGTTGATCAAAAATATGATTTAAATATATGAGATATTCCTTATTTTAGAGCCTCTACGCAACAATATTCTTTTTTTATAGTATTAAGCGACGGGACGAACTAGTCGTGCGCCTGATGGTAGCTACACGCGTGTCTATGACAGTTGCAGTACCACTCAAAGCTTTAAATCGCAAGGATCTAAGGGGTACTGCCACTGCGCCTGTCACCCTGAGACATAAGTTGACAAGTGCCAGGTGCCTGTAATTACAACAAAATTTCGCCAAGTGTTTTTTGTATGTCTAATACATCCTGCGATCATTATGATGTATCATGAGACAATTGGCAAATCCTTTTACCACGAAGACATATTATCATGGACATATGTCCAGCAGCATCAGAACCGGCTGTTTAAGTTTTGGGCAGCAATATTATTTTCGTGTAATAAGGTCACATCGGCAAAATGACATCTTTTCAGGAGAGAGGTTGAAAAATTCTATGAACGAAATTAGTTGATAATATTTTTATGCTTTTTAAGGAGAATTTTTAAATTTCACACATATATAATTATTTTCATGTAGTTCGTATTATTTTATGACTTTCATGTAATAAAAGCACTTTCAACGTAAGAATACGTGTGGGTTTATAGATATTTAGTAGATTTAGTAACTTTGTAAATACTTTTATAAATTTCAGGATAACAAAAAATTTTTAACTTTTAACAGGTGAAGACGAAATATAATTCCACGCATATTAAATTACGGCAGATTTACCCTTTCAGAAAACAAGCTAACTTCAAAATTGCTAAAAATATTGCCCCTTTTTATTTTTTGAATAAAAAAAAATTTCGCATCCCCGGGTAGCGTCAAATTATAATAATACCTAAGTAACTTCAAAATTGCCAAAAATACAGTCACATCATTTTCTGAATAAAAAAATTTTGGCGTCACCGGAAGGCATCAGGTTATAATAAAAGCTTCCATTTAGCTTCCATTTGTGGTAAGGTAATACTGTCATGTTTGAGAGAAAACAGCGGTACCTTAACGTCTACAGCTTCCATTCGTGGGACCTTAAGTAAACACGGCGTTACTTTATACAAAGTGAAATTTCATCGCCTTACTTTCTCAAACTTGTATCTTAAAGCACAAAGTTACTGAAATGCAAAAAAATGGATTGTAATACAAATTTTGAAAGCTGATTTTACATCACATTTCCTTCCCACACACTGGCTTTTACCTATTCTTTTAAGATCTATCTTCTATTATTATATCCAAATTAAGAATTGATAAGAAATTTAAAATAAGTAGAAAGTTTTGCCATCTCCTGAATAATCACTTTATAAGACACGAGTTTGAGAAAGTAAGGCATCGATTTGTCTTTCGTAACTTCAGAAATAAACCACATACTACATAACGAAATCTTCAGAGCCATTCGGTTGTACCTATTTCACTCCTGTATTATCTTTTGTTATTTCTTTACCCGCTCACGCGATGCGCTCCTCCTACCGCAAAATGGCGGCTATTTGGTTTCGCAAATTAGAAA